GGTTTGTTTTGGGACGCTTACCTTTCTGGGTGCCTAACCCGGTCGATGGCAGACATAGAATGCTTCCAATTACTTGGGGATTTCTATAGGCCGTTGCTCCCCTTGCCTCTCTAGAGTAGGCCAGATTTTGGCTCGTGGTCCCCGGTAGGCCCATGAGAACTCCATGCACATGACTGATGCCAAAGTCTGATACTGTATTAGCATATCAACCTAGTAAGTTCCAGGGAGCCTCCGAGACTCGCCCAGAAAATGGCGTTTCATTACATTCAATGCTGGATTTTTTTAAATGGCATCTGTTTACAAGCAACCCGTCCTCGAATTAAGTCCATTACATCCAGCAGTGAACTCCACAGACGCATTCATAAATTTGTACATGCTGTTCATTCAAAACAAGAATTTTCTCAAATATAAATTAATATTATAATATATTAGCATATTGTGCATATATAGGCATAGGTTAGGTTAGGTGTTTAGGTTCTGTTGGCGATTATTTATATTAGTACATGGGTACATACGTAAAATTAGTACGTACATTTATAGCGTTGTGGTTCGAACAAAATTAGTCAGTAAAGCATTTGTTCTGGAAGTGTTCGAATGAAATCAGTAGCGAGTCGTGTGTAAACCGTTTTTCATGCATAAACAGTGGGTTTTACCGGTGCATGGAATCACTTTTGGGTCCTTGTTTGGAGGACGGGCTGTTACAAGAGATGTGAGGAAGCAGATGTGAACCCAGTGTATATGCGGGACTTTTAAATCTTGCGCGGTACTTTAAAATGAATATTTACAATGTGCGCCTTTCAGCGACATTACTCAAATTGTATATACTGTACAGTGGTACCTCGGAATACGAGTGTTCCTGTATACAAGTTTTTCGGAATACGAGCAGGATTTCCTAAGAAAATTTGCCTCGGAAGGCGAGTGTGTTGATACGCGTACAGGCCGATTTAGCATGTGGTGGTACAGCGATCATCCCCCCCCTCACCCCTCAGTTTACCAGTGCCTCGCGCCCAGTGACTATCCCACGTCAATTCTTCACCAGGATTTTCAGTGTTTTATTGGATTTTTGACCATTTGACCATAAAAGTTATTATATATCTCACCATGGGTCCCAAGAAAGCCAGTGGTAAGGATCAAGGCAAGAAAGTGTATGTGAGGATGACAACAGAGGAAAAACAAGAGATCATTCGGAAGCATGAAAATGGTACACGTGTTGTTGAACTTTGTAGGCAGTACAACAAAGCCACGGCAACGATATGCACTATACTTAGCAAGAAAAAGGACATTATGAGTGCTAAAGTGACAAAAGGCGTAAGAACAATCACGAAACAAAGACCACAAATACTTGAAGAAGTGGAAAAGTTGTTATTAATTTGGATACACAACAAGGAGTTAGCGGGTGATCTGTTTCAGAGGCCATCATTTGTGAGAAAGCCAGGGTATTGCACGAAGACCTTGTAAAAAAAAAACCTCGGAACGAGTGCAGATACGATAGACTTTAAGGCAAGCAGGGGGATGGTTTGAAAAATTTAAAAAAAGAAGTGGTATTCATAGTGTTGCGAGGCATGAGGAGGCAGCCAGCTCAGACAAACCAGCAGCTGAACGATTTATTGAAGAATTTAAAGAGTTTGCAGAGGCTGAGGGATACCTACCACAACAAGTTTTTAATTGTGATGAGACAGGACTGTTCTGGAAAAGATTGCCTAAGAGGACATGCATTACCAAGGAGGAAAAATCCTTGCCCGGACACAAGCCTATGAAAGATAGGTTTACGCTTGTGCTGTGTTCAAATGCGAGTGGCGATTTGAAAATTAAACCCTTGCTAGTGTATCATCCTGAAAATCCAAGGGTTTTCAAACAGTATAAAGTGCAGAAACACCAAATGTGTGTGATGTGGAAGGCTAATAAAAAGGCATGGGTGACTAGGATTTTTTTTTCGGAGTGGGTGAATGAAGTGGTGTGCCCTACCATAGAAAAATATTTGCAGGAGAAACATTTGCCACTCAAGGCCCTGCTTCTCCTCGACAATGTTCCTGCTCATCCTCCAGGCTTGGAAGATGAATTGATGCACAGATAAAATAAATTTCTCACAGTAAAGTTCCTTCCTCCTAACACCACTCCTCTAATTCAGCCTATGGACCAGAAAATCATAGCGAATTTTAAGAAACCTTGTGAAAGGGCACTTTTTCGGAAATGTTTTGAAGTGACTGAAGCCACAAACCTCAGTCTCAAAGAGTTCTGGAAAGACCATTTTAACATTTGTAGTGCTTTAAAACTCGTTGACAAAGCCTGGCAAGAAGTGACTCAAAGAACCCTGAGCTCTGGCTGGAGAAAATTGTGGCCTGAGTGTGTGACAGAACTAGACTTTGAGGGGTTTGAGCCTGTAAATGATGTGCCTATTGTTGAGGAAATTGTTACTCTGGGCCGGCAAATGGGCTTGGAATTGGATGGTGATGATGTGGAGGAGTTGGTGGAAGAACACAACGAAGAACTGACCACCGAAGAACTCCAAGCCCTTCAAAAGGAACAGCAAGAAGACCCAGCTGAGGATGTTTCTCCAGTGGAGGAGGATGAGGCAGTACACAATGTCCCTTCTGCAACCATTAAGAAGTGGTGTCAGATGTGGGAAGAAATGCAAACTTTTATTGGAAAGACTCACCCAGAGAAAGCTGTAGTAGGGCATTGCATTAATCTTTTCAATGACAATGTGATGCCTTACTACAGAGAGAGCTTGCGAAGAAGGGAAAAACAAGCTTCCACAGACAGATTTGTTATGAGAAAATCGAGCAGTGAGCCACAACCAGGACCTAGTGGTATGCAGGCAAAACGTGCCAGGGAGTGCACCCCCAGAGAGGTCCTCACTGCCTGATGTGATAATGGAAGGGGACTCCCCTTCCAAACATTAACACCTCTCCTCCTCCCCCCTCCTCACCATCTTCCATACACCAACAGCATTCATCAGCAAGGGTAAGTAATAACTTTAACATAGTTTTGTAGGTTTATTTAGATGAATTAGGTATAAAATTTAGTTTGAAGTGAGGTTTTTGGGTAGTTAGGAACGGATTAATTCATTTCCCATTATTTCTTATGGGGAAATTAGCTTCGGATTACGAGTTTTCGGAATATGAGCTGTCTCCTGGAAGGGATTAAACTCTTAAACCAAGGTACCACTGTGTATGTGTGTGTAATTACCTAAGTGTAGTTACAGGATGAGAGCTACACTCGTGGTGTCCCGTCTTCCCAGCACTCTTTGTCATATAACGCTTTGTAACTACTGACGGTCTTGGCCTCCACCACCTTCTTCCCTAACTTGTTCCAACCGTCTACCATTCTGTTTGCGAAAGTGAATTTTCTTATATTTCTTCGGCATCTGTGTTTAGCTAGTTTATATCTATGACCTCTTGTTCTTGAAGTTCCAGGTCTCAGGAAATCTTCCCTATCGATTTTATCAATTACTGTTACTATTTTGTATGTAGTGATCATATCACCTATTTTTCTTCTGTCTTCTAGTTTTGGCATATTTAATGCCTCGAACCTCTCCTCGTAGCTCTTGCCCTTCAGGTCTGGGAGCCACTTAGTAGCATGTCTTTGCACCTTTTCCAGTTTGTTGATGTGCTTCTTAAGATATGGGCACCACACAACTCCTGCATATTCTAGCTTTGGCCTAACAAAAGTCGTGAACAATTTCTTTAGTATATCGCCATCCATGTATTTAAAAGCAATTCTGAAGTTGGAAAGCGTGGCATAGGCTCCTCGCACAATATTCTTTATGTGGTCCTCAGGTGATAGTTTTCTATCTAGAACCACCCCTAGATCTCTTTCTTTAAGAGTGTGTGTGTAATTACCTAAGTGTAATTACAGGATGATAGCTACGCTCGTGGTGTCCCGTCTTCCCAGCACTCTTTGTCATATAATTGTATGTCATACATTTGGTATACAGAATTATATGAACATGTTTGCTGATGATGCTAAGATAATAGAAAGGATAAGAAATTTAGATGATTGTCATGCCCTTCAAGAAGACCTGGACAAAAAAGTAGATGGAGCACCACTTGGCAAATGGAATTTAATGTTAATAAATGTCATGTTATGGAATGTGGAATAGGAGAACATAGACCCCACACAACCTATATATTATGTGAGAAATCTTTAAAGAATTCTGATAAAGAAAGAGATCTAGGGGTGGTTCTAGATAGAAAACTATCACCTGAGGACCACATAAAGAATATTGTGCAAGGAGCCTATGCTATTCTTTCTAATTTCAGAATTGCATTTAATTACATGGATGGCGATATACTAAAGAAATTGTTCATGACTTTTGTTAGGCCAAAGCTAGAATATGCAGCTGTTGTGTGGTGCCCATATCTTAAGAAGCACATCAACAAACTGGAAAAGGTGCAAAGACATGCTACTAAGTGGCTCCCAGAACTGAAGGGTAAGAGCTACGAGGAGAGGTTAGAAGCATTAAACATGCCAAAACTAGAAGACAGAAGAAAAAGAGGTGATATGATCACTACATACAAAATAGTAACAGGAATTGATAAAATCGGCAGGGAAGATTTCCTGAGACCTGGCACTTCAAGAACAAGAGGTCATAGATTTAAACTAGCTAAACACAGATGCCGAAGAAATATAAGAAAATTCACCTTCGCAAATAGAGTGGTAGACGGTTGGAACAAGTTAAGTGAGAAGGTGGTGGAGGCCAAGACCGTCAGTAGTTTCAAAGCGTTATATGACAAAGAGTGCTGGGAAGACGGGACACCACGAGCGTAGCTCTCATTCTGTAACTACACTTAGGTAATTACACTTAGGTAATTACACACACACAGTATATTATTTGTGCCCTTTAAGGATTAAATATACCGTATAATAATAATAGTGTTTAGAAGTACTGTACTGTATTTGGGAATGTTTTCAGCATTTTGTTCTGTATGATCTAAGTTGAATCAGTGGATTAGTGTTCATCCTTAATAATCATTATATCTGTAATCATTTCCTTACAGATAATAAAAAAACTAATTGAAAGAAGGCAGAGTGAAATCCGTAAGGTACACCCAGGACTGACCTGCTTCCGAGATGGGGTGCGAGAAATACCCATTGAGAGCATCCCGGGAATACGAGAAGCAGGCTGGAAGGACCCGGGGACTCCCTCTCGTGCATCTCGGTCGCCCAGCCACGAGCAGCAGGATCCCGAGTACTTGCACAGCATGCTGAAAACACTGCTCTGCAATGTTGGTATTATATTTGTCATTTTCAAATATTATTAATGATTAATATCATGAACAGACTCAATATTTTGCTTCTAAATTAGGAGACCGTGTATATTATAAAATAAATGCCAAAATATATAAAGATGTGTTAACAGTTGGGTTCTAATCAATGAAGTGATTGAGGATGAGATGCAGTTCTATAGCCATTTGTGTGTAATACAGTACATAGTAGCAAGAGATTGTCCCCTGGTGTAATTCAGGGGTTAACATGACATGGTGTAAAGGAGACAAGAGAGAGAACAAAAAATAAAGGCAGTTAATATAAGAGGAAGAGTGAGCAGATAGGCAATTGTGAATGGTGGAGAGAGAGAAGCTGTAATATGTTGCTTGTGAAGGAACAAAGAAGGTAGTGGGATGTAGGTAGGAAGACAATGAGGTACAATAACTTGGCTGAAGATATGGTGACCAAACCACACACCAGAACATGAAGAGACGACAAAGTTTTGGTCCGTCCTGGACTATTATCAAGTTGATTGTGATAATGGTCCTGGATGACTATTATCGCAATCGACTTGATAATGGTCCAGAACGGACCAAAACTTTGTCGTCTCTTCATCTTCTGGTGTGTGGTTTAGTCATCATGTAGGTAGGAAGCCATGTATGTTAGCAAGTTAAAACTGAGAAGGAAATATTGGAAAGTATTAATGCATGGCCAAGTAACTAAGTAACTAATAGTGATGTGAAGTGAAGACCAGGGGTGCCATAGGCACAATCAGAGAACACTGTATAAACATCAGAGGTCCACGGTTGTTCAACGTCCTCCCAGCGAGCATAAGAAATATTGCCGGAACAACCGTGGACATCTTCAAGAGGACACTAGATTGTTTCCTCCAAGGAGTGCCGGACCAACCAGGTTGTGGTGGATATGTGGGCTTGCGGGCCGCTCCAAGCAACAGCCTGGTGGACAAAACTCACAAATCAAGCCTGGCGTCGGGCTGGGCTTGGGGAGTAGAACTCCCAGAATCCCATCAACCAGGTAATGAAACTCCATTTTCTGGGCGAGTCCAGGAGGCTCCCAGGCAACCCTCCCTCCCCTCCGGTCGGCGTTTTTTTTTCGCGTCTTTTTTTTTTATATCCAGCCTCAGAACTAGGGTGAGGATTACCGGCGCGAGGGTCTGGGGCTTCCCCTTCCCCCTCCCTGGGAGAGGGGAGCTGCGCAGACATGCGGCGCGGCTCGTAAGACGTCATGCTTGTTTGGTCATGTTTCTTTTGGGGAGTTCTGTTCACTCCTTTGATGATTTTCGTTGTTAACCAGAATAGAGGTTTTTGTGTCGCTTACGTTTCTAGGTGCTTGTCCTGGTCGATGGCAGATATAGAATGCTCCAAATCACATGTGCGTTTCTATGGGCCATTGCTCCTTATGCCTCTGTGATGTTGGGGAATGGGAACTTTAACTCTGGTATAATAATATTTAATTAAGAAGATTTGAAATACTGTACTCGAAGGACCACCCACTTTTGAGAAAAGAGGAAAAACATATAAATGAATTATAAAGCTGACACTGAAATACCAGTGCCTATGGATGATAGGTTATTTGGTAATTATTTGAAGAGCATAAATGGACTGTAATAATAATTAATTAAGAGTTAAAATCCTCAAACTCCACATTGGAGGGTATTACTAGAAATTAATATATATCTAGGAACTGGTGCTGGTTCGTCACCAGTTGATTAATTACAACATTAAAGATTATAGAATCAGAAAGTAAATGTAGATTCTATGTGATTATTATATATTGAGATAATCAAGCCTATGAAATATATTGGCTATTCATAGGAAGTTACGTGTAAAAATTGCTACGCTCTAGGCAACAAATATTAAATGTAAGTGAATTATCTTAGAATCTCAAATGTATAATATATGTAGAACACATATATTAGAGACAATATTAGCATTAATCAAAGGAAATCTACAAAATAACAAAAGAGGGCTTAGCTGTAAGAAGATTTCACTAAACCCACATTTGCACATGGAAAATAGTAGTGGGGCTGGTCCCAAACCTGCACACAGAAATAACAGCACATGAGACCAGAAGGCATGGCAGGATGTGCAGAATACCCCCGTTGAAGAGCAGAGGTGCAACAGGTACTCTGAGAGAGAACTCTATCAACATCAGAGGCCCGAGACTGTTCATCACGCTTCCACTACACATAAGGGGCATAACTGGCAGACCCCTCACAGTGTTCAAGAGAGAACTATCAACATCAGAGGCCCGAGACTGTTCAACACGCTTCCACTACACATAAGGGGCATAACTGGCCGACCCCTCACAGTGTTCAAGAGAGAACTATCAACATCAGAGGCCCGAGACTGTTCAACGCGCTTCCACTACACATAAGGGGCATAACTGGCCGACCCCTCACAGTGTTCAAGAGAAAACTTGACAAACATCTCCAAAGGATGCCTGATCAACCAGGCTGTGACTCATGTCAGGCTGCGAGCAGCCATGTCCAACAGCCTGGTTGACCAGTCCAGCAATGAGGAGGCCTGGTCAAAGACCAGGCCGTGGGATCGCTGAGCCCCGGAATCACCTCAAGGTAAGGTAAGGTAACCCATTTCACAGTTCGAATACTCGTAGACGTGATCGCATCGCCCAAATAATGGATGAAACACCGACAGGGGAAATCGTGTGCAGAGGAAGAATTTCTCAGCTTGTCCTCACCAACACGCTGCTATCACAGAGATGTAATAATATTTGACTAGGCTAGAGAATTATTCCACTATTCATTGAGAACATGAGAATAACGGGGATTGAAACTAACATTGAGTTTGTGGTCGGTAGATGACATAACTAAGAACTACCTACAATAATAATTTTAGACTAAGTGCACTCATATCCAAAAATAATACTTAACATAGGTTTGTTGAAACATTTACGTTCCCCGATATCACGTCTGATAATCCCTGACGTTCACTGCTGTTGAAGGTCGATTACGGGACGTAATTATCTTCTCAGATGCGAGATTACACAGTAATTAACACTGTACGACCATGTGTTTGTAACTACAGTGGCTGCCGCCTGCAGATGTGCGTGTGCTTGTGGCGGAGACGTGTAGAAGAAAGAAGCCTTCTTCATCCCCTGACGCTCGGACACGCATGCGCAGAGACGCCCATAGCGATCTCGAGCTTAAACTAATTTGATTTACTAGTAATTATTTAGGGAAATAAGGGCGTTCGACTTATACTATTGTCACGAATAAATATATTAAATAATAATACCTCTTCTCGCAAGGCAATAGATTTAATTAACACTGCACAAATTAAACGAGAATGGTTGACGTGTATTTAATTTACGTCACAGTAATTTTTACTGGAATAATTAATTTGGTGTAATAGTCGAGTCCAGTATGCATAAGTACTTGAAATGATTATTTCTTTCATAATGAACAATATTTTTAGAAAGAAAGGACAATTAACTGAACTCTATAAATCTCCAACAACATAGAAGATTTCATGTTTCAGCCCGATATCTGACGCACGGCGTCATGATGGCTGGGAAGATGCTGGCAAAATTATGCCTTACTATAGAAACACTAACGATATTAATTCTACATGTTAGTGTTATTAGTAAAGGTTAGTATTAGGAGTTAAGAGAGAATAAACTGTTGGTTATTTCCAACATGTGAGGGGGCCAGGGGCCAGATTCATAAAGCAGTTACGCAAATACTTACGAACTTGTACATCTTTTCTCAATCTTTGGCGGCTCTGTTTGAAAATATTAAACAGTTAATGAGCTCCGAAACACCAGTATGCTGTTTATAACAATAACGACAGTTGATTGGGAAGTTTTCGTGCTTGTAAACTGTTTAATAAATGTAACCAAAGGCGTCAAAGATTGAGGAAAGATGTACATGTTCGTAAGTACTTGCGTAACTGCTTCGTGAATCTGGTCCCAGGTTCTGGCTCGTGGTCCTCGGTAGACCTAGAACTCCTCCCACTTCGACTGATGCAAAATAGTTAGGGTATCCATATCAGCCATGGATAGCTCTGGGGAGCTTCCGGGACTCACCCAGAAAATGGCGTTTCATTACATTCAACACTGGTTTTTTTTTTTTTCCTCTTGGAGGGAAGGAATCCACTGGTCCCTTCAGGGGTCGCACCGTTAGTGGGGCGCTGGGAGGGAGGGTTGCTCTGTTTTCCTATGCTTGATCCCGCGTTTTGTGGGCAGTTTGGGTCGTATCCTTCGGCCTGTGGTGGCATTGGGTGGCTTCTCTTCCTCTGGGAGGGATTCGGAGCTGGCGGGGTGGGCTTCTTTCTCTTTGCTCCGTCAAGTCCTCTTGTTCCAGTCCAGCTCCAGGACTGTGCGGGGTCTTTGGTTCATTCTAGTTTTGTCCTGTCTGTTCTGCTGGGTTCCTTCTGGATAACTCATTCTGTCCCATTTCCTGCTTCTCTTGGGGCCGGGTTGTTGGGTTGTCTCTCTGGCCCTTCGGGTCTCGTGTTTGTGTGTCCTGCTTCCTCCGGGGTTCAGGGCCTGGAGCCAGATTCACGAAGCAGTTACGCAAGCACTTACAAACCTGTACATCTTTTCTCAATCTTTGGCAGGTTTGTTTCCAATTATTAAATAGTTAATGAGCTCCGAAGCACCAGGAGGCTGTTTATAACAATAACAGCAGTTGATTGGGAAGTTCTCGTGCTTGTAACTGTTTAACCCTTAACCACTTAACTGCACCAACCAAGTATTCTCGGTCGGTGGAAAACTGCGCCAACCGAGAAAACTTTTTATTTTTTTCATACCCATTCTAAATGTCTGCGAGGTTGGTTGTGTACGAAATGAACTCTTAGGACTAAGCTGTGAGAGACAGCCATCTTGGAAAAAATTCCCAGAATGCCCTAGGCCTGCTGGCTGAGTTAGTACTGAGTGAGCAACCATGGGTGGTGCACGCACCTCTGGCTCCCAAACACCTGTCTGACGCGGTGTTGAAAGATCGTGCTTTGTCGGTGAAATTCAAACCTTATTGTTTGAAGAACATAAGGGTCATAATATTGGTGAAGCTTGGCACAATAAGGACCTA